TTTAATTATTATTTATATAAGTTGTTCAATTTTTATTTAAAATTTAGGTTTAAAAATCTATAAATCAAATTAAATATATTACAAAGAAAGTAAATTTTTAAGAAAACAGAAGATTAAAAATATTTAATAAAAAAAAAACACACCTAACGACTATAAGACAAACGCAGCATAATACATTATACAACATTAAATTTTCTTCTCTTTATTTTTATTCCCCAATCATTTGATCGACTATTAAAGTAGAAAATAAAAATCTCTAAGGGTGTGTTTGGTTCTTTAATAGCTAAGTTAGGTGTTTGAAATGTGTTTGAAAATAGTATTTTATAAATTAATTTTAATATTAAATAATAAATATTAATTACTTTATTAATTATCAGTTACCTCAAATAAAATAGGCAGAATACCCAAATCCACCCCCAAAGTATAGTGGTAGGGACGGATTCACCATCGAACAAAAAACGGGGACAAATCCACCCACAAAGTTTTAGACTTGGACAAATCATCCCAAATTTAATGTGTGACGTCATTTGACATCAGCAATCTGTTAATTTGACGTCATCTGACGTCAGCAATACGTTAACGAATTAATGAATTGCTGATGTCAAATGACGTCACACATTAAATTTGGGGTGATTTGTCTAAGTCGAAAACTTTATGGGTGGATTTGTCCCTGTTTTTTTGTTCGAGGTGGATCCGTCCCTACCACTATACTTTGGGGGTGGATTTGGGTATTTTGCCAATAAAATATAACCACTCTCGTCTAAAACAGAACTCTCATTGTTTTTGGTTGATGAAAAAGAAAAAGGGAAAGAATCTCACGTTTTTTCACAGCGTCGCCCAACTTTTTTTTTTTTTTTTTCTTCTTATTCTTCTTCTGCTTCCTTTTGAAAGCATACAAGAAAACTATTTCTAGTAGGTTAAATACCCAATTTGATCCCTCAACTTTCATTTCTAAATTTAATTTGTCCTTTAACTTCAAAAAGCATCCAAATCGTCCTTAAATTTTTTGTTTTCCGTAACCAACATAGTCCTTATGTCACAGAAGTGCATACCTGGCAAGTTAAGTCTCCATGAATTAACTCTTTAAATTTTCACAAGCTTATATGGAAAAAACACCACACCCCATTGATGATGTGGTAACAATTTTGTTCATTATTCTTATCCTTCGTCACCATTTCCCTTGCTTGCTACATCTGCTTTGCCTGTGCTTACAACTACCTTACAGTAACAAATTGGCAACCAGTGCCAACTCCAATGCTTGGTTTCTTTTGCTTGTCTTTGGCTTGATTTATGGTGTCATTATGCTACTGTCTGTGTGGTTTCTCAATGACATTTACTACACCTAAACTAGTTGCTGAAATGCCCTCTGCCTCCAACTTCATATTTGTAAAATGATTTTACTCCAAAGGAAAACAACATAAATGGAGAGCAACCATGTGAACAGTGCTCGTGAACAATACCTGTGAACAGTGTCTGGTATAACATAATTAAAATGCAACAAAAACTTGTAATAAACTGAACTTAATCAATTTCACGAAATCTTGAAATCTTCATTTCTTCAAAAATAGCAGTAAAGTATTATATAATAAACAACAACAATAATAAATTAATAGTTAAAAATATAAGAAATATTAAAATTACATTCTCAGAATTCAATCCATAGTTGCATCTATATTCTTCACTTCTATACTTTGTAGATTTTGCCATGATTCTACTCTCAACAAGTCCAATAATAAATGAAGCTTAAATTTTCGTCTCTTTATTCTTATTCCCCAATCATTTGACCGACTATTAAAGCTGGCAATAAAAATCTCTAAGTTGTGTTTGGTTCTTAAACAGCTAAATTAGGTGTTTGAAAATATTATTTTATAAATTAATTTTAATATTAATTACTTTATTTTTTTGAATTTTTTCAAGATATTGTTGAAACTTGAAACTTTTATTAATTAATTCAAATATTTTAATATTTGAGATAAATCATTTGGACCAAAAATTCAGTTCAATAGTAATTAATTTATTAATTGTTAGTTATCTCAAATAAAACATAACTACTCTAGTCAAAAACAGAACCATCATTGTTTTTGGTTAAAAAAAGAAAGAAAGGAAAAGAATCTCACGTTTGTTCAGAGGGTCACCCAACTCTTTTTTTTATTTATTTTTTCTTATTATTCTTCCTCTTCTTTTTGAAAAGCATAGAAGAAAAGAAAGATATTTTTAGTAAGCAATACAAGGTTACTCCAACCTCGCAAAACATCCAATAAAACAGTCAATAAAAACAGAATTACATCACAAATCCTTAATTATGCATTCCTTAGGGTTCATCAACCAATCTGTAAAGGAGAACCTCCCTTCCAACCTTCTTTTCTTTTTTTTTTTCTGCACTTTTGGGCCTGCAAACGGGATGATGATTCGGACGAACATATTCTAATTGAGATCAACTTACACACAACTATAAATTAATGCCCTATTAGATTTATTTAATTTTTACTTTTTTAAAAAAATTAACATTTTTTTTATGTAAAAAGTGGTGAACCTCAACCTTCTATGGTGAAAAATGAATTGTGTACATGGTTTTGTGTAAGTAAAAGAAAATAAGAGTCTTGACTTTTGAATTTATAAGATTCTGTTCACTTTTGTAAATTTTGATTCCAGAATTAGAATAGAATTTTTTTTTTTCAAGGAAAAGGATTCAAATTTTTCAATAAGAATACTGGCAAATGTGTCTAGCCGAGTGGGTTTTTATTGAGTTATATCTTACTTAATTTGAGCTTATACCTTTAACCAAAAACTCAGCCCACCGTGAGTGAGTTGGGTTAAAAATCTTTAAATCCGAATCTAATTTAGCCGAATTTAGACACTGAAAGGAGGCAATAAGATTGCAGCCTATTTAAGCCGCCAGAGATTTGTCCAGCCCAGCCCAACCCAACCCAATAAGGTCGATTAAGGGGTGAGGGCACAGGAAGATATATAGTGTGCGAAAAAGAACAAAATGTTTTAACAATTTAGCGTCAACAATTGTCCAATTGCAATTGAGAGACTTACGGCAAGATGGAGAAAGAGTCAGAGAGAGATAGGAGAGCAATTGCTTGCAATAGAGAGCAAAGAGAGAGACTCTCCAAATCCAAATCCAAATCA